TGCTGACAATCTTGTCTGGCAACCGCACTACCAGGTATGGATATTAGTATAAGGCATAGGCCAGAATCAGCCAACAATCTGAGAAACTGAGAACTTTCTGGCCCTAGGATTGGAAACAGCGAGTGGGTGCTGTCGCCACTTCTAGGAAACTTTGCAAGCCTCTTCCAGTGCTAATAATAGCAGCGAAAAAGAAAGTAGAAGCTATCAGATATTAGAGGAGGAGGTTAAACGTGTTTTATTCAAGACAACATCCCCCCCCCCCCCCCCCCCCCCTTGATTGAGTCAGACAAAATCCACAAGATTCACAGAAGAAGCTACCTAAACAATAAATGACTGATGACGGTGGCAATATGGTTCAAACTATGAATTCTATTAGATATCTACATGTTAGCCAAGGACCAATTAAAAATAAAATATTTTTTAAAAGTACACTTTAGTATAAACATTATAAACATGATAAATTTCAAAAAATAAAATTACATGTAAAACTTTATTTGAAACTACAAAAACATTGCTGAGACAATAAAAAGATCTACATAATACATATGTCCTAAATACATACATGTTTATACACACACAAACACACACATGCAATGTTCAAGGGAGGGAGACAATATTCTAGGTTCCCACGTTTTATGCAAATTGATCCATGAATTCAAAGCAATTCAGAAATTTTCAGAAGAGCTGTATAGAAATGGCACATTGAATCTAAATGTATATGAAACATAAAGAACAGAATGTAACATTGTTGAAAATCTCCACTCATCCAATTAAGGAGACTCCCTGAATCCTGTCCCATCTCCCAGGACCCATTCCTCACGCCCCACTCCCAGCAGGACAAGTTCTCCTCATTCCACGGCAGGGCTGTTTCCCATCAGAGCCTGCGGCTCCCTGCGGTAACAGTGAGGGCAGCACTGGGTCTGTCACACTCCCGGGGCCTCCTTTCTCTCTTTCCGGAGGGACACAGCCCTGTGTGTTGGAGGATCATGAATGTACACAGTAATGAAGCGAAGTGGCCTCCTGCTGACTTACAGGCAACAGAAATATCACCTAGGATCAACGAAAGTTTAAAATTAAGAGGACAAATGATGGCACTAATGAAGTCAGTAAACAAAAGGATTGCGGTGGCACTTCCTAATATCAGATTGAAATGAGTCGCAAGCAAGTGCTTAGCACAGATGAAGAAAGGAGACTTTATAAGATCAAAGCTTTAAACATCAGAATAAGATAAAAATTCTTAATATTGTGGTGCATTTATCATGAGTTTTAAACAGCACAAAACAACCATATTTCTAAATATGTGTGCATCTACTCATGGAGCTTTGAAACACACAAAACACCCATATTCACAGAGTCCCAGCTGCTGTCGTGAGGGGCTCCAGGTGGCGGGAGACCTCATGTTTCCCCAGCTGGAGGGTGACTCCATGAGGACAGCGCCCGGGTCTGCTGTGCTGACCTCCATGTGCAGAGAGGGGACGGCCACACGTGGCTGCAGGAGGGGAGGAGGCTGCTGCCCACCCCGCCTGGGCCTCCACCAAGGCCATGTCTCTCAGCCCCACCCCAGACCCCCCAAACTGTGACTCCGGGGTCCCGCCAGATGGGACCCATTATGACCTTCCAGAAAATGTCCCCTGAGTGGAAGGACTTTGATAGGGAGGCAGGGGATGTGTTTGGGGGCTGCATGGGGTGGGAACTTGGGTGACTGTCACCCGTCTGGGCACAGGGTCCCCAGGAGTGGATGTCGGTGGTGACAATTGATCTCTAAGTCCTGCCCTGGCCCTGACAGTGTCAGCCTGTGACGTTCCTCCGCTGAGGAGGGTCACGGTTCTGACCTCGCCCCCATCTTCCTGTGGGGCCTCCTCTAAGTCCTGCAGCTCTCAGTTCCCGAGAGAAGAACCCCGAGGAGCAGACTGTCCCCGGCGGCCCTGGCACCTGCGACCCGACATGCTGCTGCTACTGGCCCTGCTTTGGGGGACGGCGGGGGTGGAGGGATGGGGAGGGTACCGGCTGCAAGTGCAGAGTGTGGTGACGGTGCAGGAGGGCCTGTGTGTCCGTGTGTCCTGCTCCTTCCCCTGCCCTCTGTACCACTGGAGGGACTCTGACCCTATTCATGGCTACTGGTTCCGGGAAGGAGCCAGTGTGGAGAGGGATGCTCCCGTGGTCACAAACAACCCAGCTAGGAAAGTGCAGGAGGAGACCCGGGGCCAATTCCACCTCTTAGGGGATCTTAGGAGGAATGACTGCTCCCTGAGCATCAGAGACGCCACAATGAGGGTCGAGGGGTCATACTTTTTTGGGGTGGAGCGTGAATTGATGAAATGGAACTATGAACAAAACAAGCTGGTTGTGCAGGTGACAGGTAAGGCTCCGGCTCCAGGAGTGTCCAGAGGGGGAGGTGGTGGGGGCCTCAGGGCAGGGCTGGGCTGGGACCCCGTGCTGGGAGGGGCTGGGGGTGAAGCGTGTGGGGCTCAGGGCAGGAGCTGGACTAGAGCCTGAGTCCTCTCAGGGCCGCACCTCGACCCTCCCTCCTGACCCTGCGTGTCCCCCTCTCCTCCCCAGCCCTGACCCACACGCCCGACATCCTCCTCCCGGAGACCCTGGAGTGTGGCCACCCCAGCACCCTGACCTGCTCTGTGCCCTGGGCCTGTGAGCAGGGGACGCGCCCCCATATCTCCTGGGAGGGGGCTTCCGTGGCTCCCCAGGGCCCCACCATCGGCCGCTCCTCAGTGCTCACCCTCGTCCCTCAGCCCCAGGACCACGGCAGCAGCCTCACCTGCCAGGTGACCTTGCCTGGGGCCGGTGTGACCACGACGAGGACCGTCCACCTCAACGTGTCCTGTGAGAGCTGGGCTGGGAATCCTGGGGTCCTGCTGGGGTCCCCAGTCCAGCGGTTGGGGTCAGGGCTGCACACGGGGTGCTGGGACCTGGGTCCTATTGGGGAAGGTTAGGGGGACCCTGGCTCCCTCCTCCCCCCTTACGTGGCTCCTGGGGACAGAGGCAGCGTCCACCCAGCCCTCAGCAGTGACTTCGGCCTGCCATGTGTGTCTACCCCAGACTCTCCTCAGAACCTGACCGTGACTGTCTTCCATGGAAACGGCTCAGGTAGGACGGGCCCTCCCTGGGCTGCGGGAGCTGGGCCTCTTCAGTCAGGGCAGGCGCGTCCTTCTCATCCTGGACTCACCTGGTCACCTGAGACCTCCCTGCTGGTGACCCAGGGCCCCTTCCTCCCCTACGACACCTTCTCACCCCCTGGGCCCACAAGGACAGGTTGACAGTCACACAGCAGAACTGGCCTCCAAGCCCCTTGTCATTCGTCTCCTGAACACTCCTTCAGCCTCGTCTGTTTTTTTCCCCAAGTGTTCACCTAATTCTGGGTGTGTGATACGGTCACATGGGCGACAATTCCAAATGCACAGCAGGGTGAGTCCTCAGAGTTCTGTCCCCTCCCCAGAACCCACCAGGGTCCCCCAGGCTGCTAGAGCCTTGGTCTGTTCACCTGCAGGACCTCAGAGGTGGTTTGACATCCGTAGTGCAGCCTGTCCCCATGGTCCTGTGTGACTGTGTGGTGTCCCCCTGCATGGATTTACCCTGAGTCTGTATACATCTTATGCCAATGGAAAGTGAAGGCGTTATTTTATCTTATCAGCAGACACACTGCAAGGAATATATTCTATCTCCTTTCACACCTGTGTATATGTTTGTGGGATAAATTCTGTAAAAAATAAATGGGTCCTAAGTTTTCTTTAATTTTGAGAATTATAGCCAAGTGTTTCTGTATAAAGGGTGTACAAGTTACATTCCCAACAGGGATAGGTCAACGTGTGTGTTTGCCTCCACTGCACTCTCCGTATGTGTCTTCCCCTCAGCAGGGTCTTTCTCTGTCCTTCCTTCCTGTCTGCAGATCTCTCTGTCTCTCTGACCTTCTGTCTCTTATTCTGCAGAAGTCACTGGCCTTGGGAACGGCTCATCTGTGTCAGTCCTGGAAGGCCAGTACCTGCGTCTGGTCTGCGTTGTCAACAGCAACCCCCCTGCCAGGATCACCTGGACCTGGGGGAGACTCACCCTGAACCCCTCCCAGCCCTTGGGCCCTGGGGAGCTGGAGCTGCCTCGAGTGCACCTCAGGGATGAAGGAGAATTCTGCCGAGCTCAGAACCCTCTGGGCTCCCAGCACGTCTCCCTGAGCCTCTCCCTGCAGACTAAGGACACAGGTGGGTGGGGGAGAAATAGAGAAGAACACACCTGCCCCACCTTTGGGGTCCAGCCAGCAATCCCTTAACCTAAAGGGAGGCTCAGCTGTGAGGCCTGGAACTTCCTTGTGACCCAGAGCATCACTGTCCTCTTCCTGCCTGGCAAGGGGCCTGGGGTGGGGCGAGGGGCAGAGGTGGACTATGGAGGGGAGGGGCTGGGGCTGGACAGGGGTGTTTGGGGAGACAAGGTCCTTGCTCTGCAGGGCTGGGACTAGGGTGAGACACATCAGGAATTCAACTTGGGTACAAAATTTCAGAAGACATTAAGGACAAACCAGTCAGCAATCAAGGGAAGTAATATTGCTATGCAATGATTTTCTTTAAAACAGTAAGTTGAACACAATAAAATCAATGATGAACAAAATTTCAAAATTTTTAATAAAGAAAGGCTGCAGCAGCACTTCCATGTGTCACTGGTTCTCCCAGCAGCCTCCCACCTCCTCCCTCCCATCCTAGTTCCTTGCTTCTGAGATGGGGGAGGGGAGTAGGAGCTCAGGGCCCTACAGGGCTGGGAGGAGGAGAGACCCAGCACTTGCAGGTGAGTCACCAGAGTTGCTCTCCTGCATCTGCAGCCACAGTGCAGCCTGTCTCCGGGGTGATGCTGGGGGTTGTCTGGGGAGCTAAAGCCACAGCCCTGGTCTTCCTGTCCTTCTGCGTCATCTTCATCGTGTAAGCATTGACTGTGGGGGGAGGGCAGGCCCGGTGCAGAGTCCCTGTGGACAGAGGTGGAGGGAGCTGGGTGGGGCATGAGCTTGAAGAAAGGGCAGGAAGGGGGTGAGGAGTGCACTGTGAGAATTTCATGAGCTCCCTTGTTTTGGGGGCTCCTAGTCTATGGCAATCTGGGGACCCCTTATCCAGGAGGATGGTGGGTGTGTTCTCAGTATTGGCATCTATGGGACTGGTAACCCCTGTCCCACCATAGTCACCCCTCCAGCCCCTTCCTAGGAAAAAAAGGTGGGGTCACCCTGCCCACTGTGCCCTCATCTGCCCAGACTGAGGCTCTCTGGTCTGTCCTCTCAGCGTGAGGTCCCGCAGGAGGAAGGCGGCAAGAGCAGCAGCGGGCGTGGGGGACACAGGTGTGGAGGAGCCAGACGCTGTCAGGGTCCCAGGCTCTCGGGTAAGTTACTGGGTATGTCCACATCCAGCTTCCTGCCTGGACACCTCCCACAGGATGTCCTCCAGTATTGCTCAGCTGGCATGGCCAAAGTTGTCTCCTCATCTCTTCCTCCTACCGAAAAGCTGCCGCCCCCTGCAGCATTCCCCATGGTGCCAGTAGCACAGAAGTCCATCCCCTCTGCTTGTTCCACGGCCAGGGACACTGGAAGTTACCTCCTGTATGTCCTTTCTTTCTTCCCCTATGCCAGAAGTTCACCATGTCTTGCCCGTTTATCCCCTAAGAACAGCCAGCATTGGTCCCCACTCTCCATCCTGACCCCTCTCATTGCTGAGGCCTCGGGTTCTCCTCTTGGACCCTCTCGTCTCCCTGCCTCTCCCCTCCCCTTCCCTACCTGGAGGGATTGTCCAAAAGCCATCACTGCCCTGTCCCCCCTTATATGCACAGCTGCTCCCTCACCCCAAACTCTGTTAGAACAGGGGCCAGGAAACATATTTTGTAAAGACCAGATGGTAAATGTGCTTGGTTCTGTGGGTTATACAGTCTCTGCTGCAGTTACTCAACTCTGCTGTGGTAGCTTGAAAGTCGCCATAGACCACGTGTAAATGATGAGTTTAGCTGTGTTCCAATAAAACTTTATTTAAAGAGGCAGAGAGTGGGTGGACTTTGACCAGGGTGTAGTTTGCCCACCCAAGGTCTAGAGAATAAAACCCCAAGTTCTAGCCCAGCAGCCCTGCCATTCAGGCCTCTTAGGTACCTATATGTCCCTTAGGGATGGAATTACCCAGAGGTGACTGAGACTCTTGAGCTAGATGCAAAATTTTATGGGTTGTGAAAACTCTCAGTGATTGAGACAATTTGTGTAATTTTTTAGCAGATGGAAATCAAGGAAACAATTCATGATGAGTAAAATATTAACATTTTAAATAATGACAGGTCCAGTAAACTGAAGTTAATTAAAAGTTTTTAAGATCATCACTTAATCAAGACAAATTGTCTCACAGGGCAGCATTCTCATCTGAGAATCAGGGAAGGAAAAAAGTGGATTTTGAAAGTTTTGTCTCTTTTTTGCTTCCAGTAGAGCTAGGTTCCAATTTGCTCAGGAAAGCACACTCCCTAATCTGGGCTTATTTCAATTTTTATTCTTCATGGATATTTAGCATTCATTTTATTTTTTAAAATGTTGCATTGAAATATTCTTCATCTCAATGGCTGATATCTTTGGCTGCCTTTTCATTTTGGACTCTAGTGAGTAACACCATTCTTCACCTTGGCCCAGCCCTGACCTCCAGCCACTTCCTGCCTCCTGCTCTGAGCTCCACCCACGCTGGGCTTTTCATTATTGTCACCCACAACAAGATGATTTGCACGTTTGCATCTTTGCATGGGCTGTTTCTCCATCATCAGAGGCTCTTCATCCTCACTGCACTTCCTGTAGGATATTCTGAGCAACAGAGTGAAAAGTGTCGTTTCATTTTTTAATTTGGTCTGAAAAATTATTGGGCACCTACCAAGAGACAAGCTCTGTATGAGCCTGGGTCCCATTTGTGAAAAGCATTTAAACATCGTGGGCTCAGTGAAGTCTTCTTTTAGAGAGAGGGACATATCCACACCAGTCACTAACCAACCAAGAAAACAACAAATAAATGAAGGAAATGTGAAAAATAGGCACGTAATTTGGGAAAAATCCAGGTGACAGGAAATAGAAAGTGCCAAGGAGATGGAGATGGCCTATGGTGTATTGTGCTACGTATGATCTACCTGTCATCTGTCTAGAGATGTACATATCGATGCATCTACTCTCTCTCTCTCTAACTCACTATCTTTCTATCTCTCCAACCTTCCATCATTTATGCATGTATCTATCTGTCTTGGTAAAAAAGCAAGCACATAACACAAAGTTGAACATATTAACCATTTTTAAGTGTACAGTTGTACAACAGATTCTAGAATTTTTCACCTTGCAAAACTGAAAACCTATGTCCACTGAATATCAACTCCCCCCTTCCCCACCCGACCGTCCTCTTCTCTGTGAGACCCTGGTGACCACCATGCTACTTTCTGTTCCTGTGAATGTGATGACCACATATCACATATAAGTGGAGTCGTGCAGTATTTGACTTCTTGTGACTGGCTTATTTACTTAACATACAACCTCAAGATTCATCCATGTTGTAGGACATGATAGCATTTCCTTCCTTTGAAAGAATGATTATTAATATTCCATTCTGCATATACACACTGCTTTTTTAAATCCATTTATCTATGGCTGGGCATTTGGGTTGCTTCCACGTTGGCAATTGGGAATTATGCTGCAGTGAACATGGGTGTGCGTATATCTTCTCAAGATCTTGCTTTCAATCCTTTTGGATATATGTCCAAAAGGAGGAATGATGGATCTTATGTTACTTCTATTTTTAATTTTTGTAGGAACTGCCATACTCTTCTCCATACTGGCTATATCATTTTACGTTCCCATGAGTAGTATGTACAGGTTCCCATTTCTCTACATACTGACCAACAGCTGGTATTTTCTGTGTTTTACTTGTTTGTTTTTTACAGTAGCCGTTCTAATGGGTGTGAGGTTACATCTTACTATAGTGCTGAATTCCATTTCTCTTATAATTAGTGGTCCAAGCATCTTTTCATGTACTCTTAGGCCATTTATATGTCTTTCAGAGAAAAGTCTACCAGAATCCTTGGTTACTTTTAAGCTGATTTAATTGGTTTTCATTGTGGAGGTATATGAGGTCTTTATATATTCTAGATATTAACCACTAATCACATGTATGGTTTGCAAATTTTTTGGCCAATCTTACGTTGACTGGTGGTTTGTCTTAATAGCTTTTGAGCAAAGGCATGAAGGAGGCTCAGAGTCTGGCACTCAATTGTGTTACTGTAGGAAGGGGGAAGGGCAGGGGCAGAGCTCAGACACAGGAGGCAGAGCGGGGAGTGGGAAGCCACTGGGAGGGCCCTGTGGTTAGACAGAGGGAGGCAGGGGCCCTGAGCAGGAAGTGAGCGTGGACAAGCCCACCCTGTGTGCGTGTCATATCTGAATTCACAGCCACTGTGAGCATCTGGAGATTTTGTGCAGAAGAGAGCAGGTGTGGGAGAGGAAGAGCAGAAGCAGAGAGTCAGAGAGGAGGCTGGTGGACATTCCAGACAGGAGGTGTCACAGCTGGAGGATGGCAATGGAGGCTGGGAAGGCCTGGATTCTGGATAAATTTGAAGTGAAGGCTCATGGGAATTGCTAATGACTTAGGAGTGGGCCATGAGGGACAGAGAGGGTGAGATATCCGTGAGGGATTGAATATTTGAGCTGAGCTGCTGGAAGAATGGAGGTGGTAGTCACCAAGGCTGAGAATATTGGTGGAGAAAGAGATTTGGGGGAGAAAAGAAGAAGTTCATTGTAAATAGGTTGGGTTTTATGTGTCTTTGGACAAGGGAGTCAGAGTTTCAAGTATACTGTTGGATGCAAGTTTGTAACCAGGAGAGGGGAATTGGCTAGAATTCTGGATTTGGGGATCATCAGCCTATTGGTGACATGAAACCAACATAGTGGGTGAGTTCACAAAGCAAAGTTGAAAATGTAAAGATTCCAGGGCAGCTCTGCTATTTAGGGGTCAGGGAGATGTGGTGTAACCAGCAAAGGGGCTGCAGGGAGGTCGGATGGACCTAGAAAATGTGACGTCCTGCAGTTGAGTAAAGAAGGGCCTCAGTGCAGGTACCGCGTGCAACTGGGTCCTCTGCTGCTGCCACGCCCAGGGGGAAGACTGACACGTGGTCACTGGGATTAGCCACGTGGGGTCCTGGTGATCTTGATAATGGCAGTGCTGAAAAGTGGTGCATGTGTGTGTGATTGAGTGTGTGTGATTGAGTGTGTGTGATTGTGTGTGAGTGTGTGTGTGAGTGCGTGTGTGAGTGTGTTAATCCTAATTTGAATAATCAAAAGACAGTGGAGGAGCAAATTCATTGACAGTTCTGTGGACATGTTGCTGTGTTGAGGGGGGAGCCTAGAAGGGCTCAGGTTAAGCAGACGGCCACGCAGGCAGCCTCCATCACTGTGTGCTGTGTCTTCAAACCTGATAAATGTGTTGTCTTCCAGTTATGGTAGGCGGATGTTTCCCTGGGCTGAAATCAAGGTGTTGGCCGGCAGGGTGGTGCCTTCTGGCAGCTGCAGGGAGGACGCACTTTCTTGCTCTTCCAGGTTCTAGAGGTCCTGCGATCCTCGACTGTGGTCCCTTCCTCCTGCTACAAGGCTGCCCGTGAAGCATCTAGTACTCTCCACCTGTCCCCTCTTTTGCTTGTTAAGACTCACTGATCACATTTGGGCCACCCAATGTTTTGGGATAATCTTCCCATCTCAATGTCCTTAAATGGACTCCATCTGCAATGTCCCTTTTGCCACATAAGGTTGCATACCCCCAGGGTCCAGGAGGTTAGGGTGGGGACAGTTTTATGAGCCATTCCTCTTCTTATCAGAGGGATATACTTGTTGTGACTGGCCAGTCCCTACACCAGCCCCCTCAACAAACTGTGAGCTTTCTAAGGGCAGGTGCCATGTCAGAATCAAGGACCTGTATTTCTAAAAGACTGTGTTTTGGGCCATCATATAGTAATTCACAAATGAGTGTTTGTTCATTTGATGGTCAGTTATTGGCATGTCCCTCAGTTACAGAGTGAGCTGGGAAAGGTCGGGGTCCCTGTCCTTGTCCACCCCAACACATCCAGCACCCAGCTTACTGCCTCACATGCAGGGGCCTCCGTGGTCACCAGGCTGTGGGGTCAGGGAACTGACTGGGTTCGATTCTGGTGCAGTAGAGAGTTGGGCAGGCCGCCTCCTGCCTCTGCCTCAGTGCTTATATCTATCAAATGAAGAAAATATTAATATTATTCCTCATGCGGTTGTTGTGAGAAGTTAAAGAAATTGGGAAACACCAAATAAGGGGCTTAGGAAGCCCTAAATATTCATACAAACCTTGGAAGAATGAGATTCCACCAACAATGCCTGAAAGACAAGTGGATGAAGGAAATCATGGCCTTCCTCGCTGGCTCCCTGCCTGGTCCTGTCCCCATTGTCTGCTCTTACTCCCTCCTTTCTCTCTTCACTCAGGTGTCCCTGATTGAACCCCAGGCAGGTGACAGCCGCCCAGACCAGGCTCCCCCTGCTGTGGCCAGCCCCATCTCAAGGCAGGAACAAGAGGTGCAGTATACATCCGTCAGCTTCCTGAAGAGGAAGGCTCAGGACACTGTGGGACAGGAGGCCACAGGCAGAGAGTACTCAGAGATCAAGATCCGCCAGTGAGAAACTTGGAGACTGGGCCCTGGTGGGGAATCCCGCCCCTCCTTGCACGGGGACGTCAGAGGCTCATTCCTGCAGAATCCAAGCCCTCCACAGCCCCACGCTGCCCAGCAGAACCCCAGAGCTTCTTCCTCCTGTGAAACTGAAACCTTGTGCCCACTGACCTCTGTCTTCCCTTTCTCTGTCCTGCTCGGCCCTGCCTCCCAGCTTCTCATACCACTATTCTACCTTCTACTTCTGTGAGTTAGACTGCTATGGATTCCACATGTAAGTGTAATTAAAAGTTATTTCCCACTCTGTGCTTGGCTTATTTCACTTAAAATACTATCCTTTAGTTTGATCAATGCTGTCTCAGATGAGAGAATAAAGTATGTTTCAAAATTGCTAAAAGAGAGGTTTATAAATGTTCTTACCAAAAAGAAATCATAGTAGTTGAGTTTATGTTATCAAATGGATCTGGGTCCTTCTCCCCATGCACAACGCAAAGGTAAATGTGGAGGCACCAGGTTTTTGCAGCAAGAAAGGTTTATTTCCAGCCAGCTGAACGAGGAGACAGGAGTCAGGCTCAAATCTGTATCCTTGAGCAGAGGTTAGGACAGGTTTTATAGTGACAGGGTAATGAGGCGTGACTGGATCCTGACCTGGAGGTGACACCAGGGCACAGTCTTATTGGAACCTGGATCCCTCCACGTGTTGTGTGCATCTGTATTCAGTCCCCACTCCTGGGACCAAGCACTTAGGTTCGCTGTGGTTGCATGCTCAGGGCAAACTCAGGTTACGTGACCTTCAAACTGGGGATTTGTGGCAACCGCAAAACAAATCACAACTTTATTACATAAAATTTAAATCAGGTTGATTTCATGCAGTTTCGGTGATGGGTATACTCACTCTCTTGACCTGATCATTCCACCAGGTTTACATGTATGGAACCTCACTGGTGCTGTCTCAAGGCCTCACAGCTACTCAGGGCAGGGCTGGAGTTTAAACCCCACCTGATTCTGAGTCTCTGCTCTCATCTAACATCGAGTCACCCAACCAGCAGGCCAGACCCACTTTGGCCACAAATTAGCAGACATAATATTCCTATTGGTCTTGAAATTCGTTAAGGAGGTGAAGTAAATGGGCCAGAGTCTTAGGGACAAGAGAGGTGCAGTTGAGGAGATGAAGGCTGGGGATCTCTGATCATGCCTTTTGGACGGTCTTCATTTATTTATTTGTCATCACCCCATTATTAAAATTTTTAGCTTAAAGTTGTTTATTTATTTTTTCTTGAAAATGAAAAGTATCATTTTTTAAAATTATGACAAAATTCACCTACTACACATACACAAATCTTAATCATGTATTCCATGATCTTTACCAGACTTGTACACCTGTGTTCCCCAATCAGGACCCCAGTGAAGGATATGGAAATTTCCCATCACAGCAGAAAGATCCTGGTTCCCATGCCCAGTCAATCCCCAACCCTGAGAGCCAACACTTTCTGATTCCTATGACTGGACATTACTTTTCCATGTCTTTAAACATTATATAATAGGCATTATACGGTATGTATTCTTGTGTCTGGTTTTATTTTCACTGAGCATTCTATTTTTTGAGATTCATCTGTGTTGGCTCATGTGTCAGCCTTCTAGTCCCTGTTATCACTGAGCAGGATTCCACAGTATGAGTATATCACGCTTCCTCTAACTACATTTTTTTATTCATGAATATTTGCTTTCATTTTTGGCAATTATGAATACAGCTGCTGAGATGTTTGCAGAAGACTGTGTTGAGATGTTTCCATTTCTGTCGGGTGTTGGGGGCAAGGGTGGCACGGGCACAGTGAGGACAGGTTCACATGCTGGAAGCTCCAGAGCCTCCGGCATGTCCCTGGGAGACCAGCGTCCAGCAGCTCATGAGGGAAGGACTGGAGATGGACACTGGGAAACATAAGGTCCCATAATCCTAATTATGAACCCCAGTACTGGGGATTGAATATTGTCCCTCAAGAGATATGTTCAAGTCCTAACCCCTGTACCTGCCAATGCACGTTAGTTTGGGAATAGGGTCTTATCAGATGCAATCAAGATAATATGAAATGGAACAGGATTACATCGGTCCCTAAATACAATGCCTGGAGTCCTGATACAAGAGGGAAATTTGGACACAGAGACACACACGGGATGAAGGCCAAGTGACAATGGAGGCAGAGATTGGACTTATGCTGTCATGAGCCAAGGGATGCTGAGGATTGCTGGCTACCACTAGCAGCTGGAAGAGGCAAAGGATTCTTCCTAGGACCTTCAGAGCGAGCATGGCCCTGCTGATACTTTGAGTTTGGACACCTGGACTCCAGAACTGTGAGAGAATCAATCTCTGTGGTTTTAAGTCACCCAGTTTGTGGCAATGTGTCCTAGCAGCCCTAAGAAGCCAGTGCAGTGAGGGCATCACACCTGCTGGGCACCACTGTGCATGGGATCCTGCACCTGTCCTGTCTCATGCAGGCTTCACAGTCACTCGGGGAGTCACAGAGCCACACAGGACACAAGTGCAGGGACCAGGTGGGAGTCTTCAGCATTCCCCACCCTTTGAAAGATTTCTGAGATATTAAGGTCACTGGAGGAAGATGCCACTGGGGGTGGGAGTGGGGAGGAAAAGATGATGCATGGACCTGAGGAAGCAGTGGGCACTGCCGTGCCAATTAGCTGTGGTGACAGTAATAATAATGATCACAGGAATAATAATAATTTACTTCATACCTATTATATGCCTGGCTCTGTAGTAGAGAGAAATGATCTTTAACCCTCCCAATAGCTACACCAGAGAGACACTTAACCACACTGCAGATGATGAAATGGGGGTTCACAGAGGTCGAGTTATCTGCCCAAAGTCCCACTCCTAGAACATGACAGAGGCCACACTTCTCAGCCTGGCTTCTCTTACTGCCAGACACCTGCTGTCATGCAGACTGGAGGCTCAGACCATGGAGCATGTGGCACCATCAATAGGAAGGGGATGGTGGTGTTGGGGGGTTTTGGGTGTGAGGAGGTGGCTCTGCTTAGTAGGGGATCAGTCCAGGCTCTGGAAGGAGATATGACTCAGTCTCTTGGAAACACTCTAGAACTTTCTGGATTTTATCATAGCCAGTTTGGGATTGTGCATTGAATAGTTTAATAGCAACAATACTACCAAAGATCTTATTGAGTGCTGACTGTGCAGCAATCCTTGCCCCGAGCTCTTTACCAGTAAGCGCTGACTTCACCCCCACAGGTCCCATGGGCCTCCTGCTGCCCAGGAGACGTCCTTGTATGAGAGCTGGGGGGCGGGCATCTGGGCAGACGGGCACCCAGGCAGATGTGACTGCAGGGTGGTGAGGGTGGGGGTCCAAGCTCATCACTCCTGGGGTGGATGGAAACGATGTATCTGTAGGGTGTGTGACCCTGTGTGTGTGGGGTGTGTGTGTGTGTGTATGTGTGCCCATGTTCACACAGCCGTGTGCAGGTGTGTGTGTGTCAGGGAGTGTGATGCTGCGTCTGTGGGTCTGTGCAGGTCTGTGTCTATGGTGAGCTGTGCCCAGGTGTCTGAGCCCATGAAAGTCCTACTGACGGTCCTGTCCTTCTCCCGTCCCCCACCCCAGCCCTAGGGATTTTAGGTGTGTCCCTAAATGAGATGGTCCTAGCCCCCTTCCAACCCTTGCTCCCAGTTGCTCTTCCCTTGACCCTGGGAAGGCGGTCAGAGCTCTCTTACCTATGAGCAAGAGGCCCCTCCGCAGGCTGCACCTGGGGCTGGAAAGGTGCAGGAGCTGCCTGGGGTCCTGCAGGAGGAGGGTCTTCCCAGAGACGTGGCCGCCCCCTCTGCCCTTCACACCCCCATGTCCCAGGTCCCAGAGGCTTCTGGCCGTGTCTCCCCAGCCCTCCAGGGTTGCCTTTCCTCCCAGGGTGGACTCTGACCAGCAGGGCTGGGGCCTGGGAAAACAGGGCTCTTGGGAGTCAACTCTTATCATTGTGGCTTTATGTTGCCTTCATTTAATATTTATTTATCTTATTTTTATATTTATTTATATTGTTTTTTTCGGGTTATTAAAAACAAAACAAAACCAAACAAAGGCTTACTGTTGGGAGAAGCAGGAAATACAAAAAAGCATAGCAAAGAGAAGACAAAAAATTGCTCATGTTTGTCCTGTTATTTCGTTTGGATTTCCTACGCACTGCCTCGCCCACTTTTTAATGTGCCTCGTCCTGTGTTACAAGTAGCTTCTTTTCCTCAACATGTACTGTTTCCCAGCTTCCTTAAATATTCTCCATGGCCATTCTGAACGGTTGCAGGACCTGTTATACACCTGAACCAAGTGTGTATAACCTGTTCCCTGTTGTTGGAGTTTTGGGGTCATCCTAAAATTCACCTTTAGGGGTAACTTTGTGGGCTAGGAGCAAACAGTGTGTGGTCCTTACAGAAGGGAGTGGAGGAAGGGGGAGTTGAGCCATACACAGATGGAACAGTGTCTAGGTGTGTTGAGACCTAACACAGCGAGAGACACAGAGAGATACAGTCAAGTGACAAGGTCTTTCATTCTGAACTTGGGAATGTGTTTGTATTTTATTTTAATAACAACACGCACTGCTTTTTAAATTACAAAATGAATATATTTCCTATAGAATTTGAATGTCCTACAAAACGAAGAAAATTATTAAAAAGTTTTAATGTGTACTATATATGTATAAATGTAAGAATATTTATAAATCAATAAATGTATAAATATTCATACACAGTTGGCCCTTGAACAACACACGGTTAGGGGCCCCAAATCATCTGTGCAGTGGATAATCCATGTATAACTTTTGACTCCCTAAAAACTTAACGACTAATATGTTACTGTGGACTAGAGGCTTATTGATAACATAAACAATCAGCTAGCACATATTTTGTACATTATGTGCATCACATACTGTATTCTTACAATAATGCAAGATGGAGAAAAGAAAATATAATTAAGAAAAACATCATGAAGAGGAAATATATTTATAATTCATTAAGTGGAAGTGGATCATCATAATGTCTTCATCCTGAATGTGCTTAGCAGGAGGAGGAAGAGGGGGGGTTGGTCTTACTACTCTCTAGGGTATTTTAGGGTACTTGATGGATTTTATGCATTTATGACATACCTAACATTTTCTTAATATTTTTAATATTAGTAGATTATGGAGTTCATCTGTGAGCTTTTCAAAATTGTTACACTCTCAAACAATTTTTCCATTATATTTCTAGGGAAAAAAATCTGCATATAAGTGGATCCATGGATTTTAACACCATGGTTGTCAAGGTTCACCTATAGTTGTTCATGTACATATTTTTACATTTTAAGAAATATAAATATGAAAAATAAAAATAAAATGATTCATTATAATATAATGAATACAATAGCTACAAATCACTTGCCATAATTTGACCACAGAGAGACAAATCCAGCATTTTCCTCTGTATATTTTCAATTTTCATATGTTATATATACTCATACATATATCCCTTTTTTTTAAGAATGTGGAATGACATCATTAAATATCCTTCTCTATTAGGGCTTCTCAAACTTTAACCCCTAGGTCGTTGCAGGAAGGTGAATCTACATCTCTGGGTATCTAGTGCTTTATAAAATATCTCTGAGGTATTCTGCTGTACCCTGAAAACTCATAGGAATATTTGCAGCCTATACAAAATACATCTCCATTGGTTATGATAGGAAAACAATGCATTATTACCACTGAAGCTACTTAATGGTCCTGCTCAAGTATTTGAGTATAAGTGACGTCCCTAGAAGTTATGCAAATCAAATCTTTTGTCTCTGGGTCCTCTGGCACTGCCTAACACCACCTGCCCTCGGTCCTGGACTCCCATGGGAGAAGCAGGACTTTGCACCATCACCGTGAATTCCTCATGACTGCATCGCATTCCACTGAACTGGATATGGTTCGAATTATTCAACCAATTCTCTACTTGAGAGTGTTTAAGTCTTTTCAATTCATTTTAAAGAGACTTTTTTTTTTTTACAATGGTTTTATGTTCACAGCAAAATTGAGTAGAGGACATAATTCATTTTAATTCTGGCACTATCGCCTGGAAACAGCATCAGGAGCCACAAGTTAAGAGCTGAGTCCCACAACAGTGCCCCCACTTCAGACGCCAGTTCAATTAGCAGGTTGCTACCTGCATTTCTGATTGTCCAGCTATGAATTGGGGTTCCCACAATCTCATCTTTATGTTGAATGAAGTTGCTAGAGTTGCTTACAAACTCAAGGAAGCATTTACTTACTTCTACTGGGTTTTCTGGTTTGTTAATAAGGGATATAGATGAAGCGTCAGATGGAAGAGATGCACAGGGCGAGGCGTGGCAGGTAGGGTGTGGAGCTTCCATGCCCATTTCATGGGCACCACCCTCCAGGAACCTCCACCTGTTCAGCTCCCCAGAACTCAATGAACCCAGCCCTTTGAGGTTTTCATAGAAACTGCTCAGGTATAGTTGATTACATGGTTGATGGTAGGTGATCAATAACTTTCAGTCCCTCTTCCCTTCCCAGAAGTTTTCAGCTGGAATACCAATTGAAAGTTCCAATCTTTCAATCACATGGTTGGTTCCCCTCACAAGCAACCCCCATCCTGAGGCCATCTAGGGGCCCTCCCACCGTCATCTCATTAGAACAAAAGATGATCCTTTCATGAAGAATATTAGAAATGTCTCATGGGTTCTGCATCAACCAGGGGTCAAAGACCAAATATTAGAGCAAAAAGTTCTCCAAGTGCCCCTATCTACCAGGGTTTTAGGAGCTGTATGTCAGGAAGTAGGGATGAAAACCAAGTATGTATTTCTTAATATCTCACATGTGTGCATGGGGTGGCAGGAAGTGAGTGTCTATGGAGCTGGTGGGGAATCCCCCAGCTGGTGAGTCCATGTGAGCCCTTCAAACCCTGAGCATGGCAACTGCGCACGGAAAAGTCTCTTGAGGATATCTCGGTGTCTCAAATCAATACTCAGTTTATTAAAGTTACAGACCACCAAACCTAGTTATTCTAAGCTTTATAGTTCAATATACAAATTCTACATTTGTTCATAGAGTTAATATATTTTAATAATAACAGGTTGACCAAATGGATGTCAATAGAAAAAAATCCTTTTAAAAAGATCAGTGACATTTATAAATGTAGTTAATGAAATTCCCATAAACATGTTATTCTGCTTTTATAAATTTTTGTTTGTTTTTTACTTCAAAATTAGTTTCTGATACATGGCTTGAATCGGTGTCTAAATGTGCCCATCACCCATATAGTGTTCACTGTACTGGTTAGCTGGGTTTTTGCCCTTCCCCTCCTCTCCAGTGACTTTTACTTTGCTCTATGTACTTGCGTGACCATCAGTGAGTTCCAATTTATTAGAGACTACACATGGTGTGTGTTTTTCCATTCATGTGATACTTCACTTAGGTTAATGGTCTCCATTTCCTTCCAAATTATTGGAAAAGGCAATAATTCATTTTTATTGCCTAGTAGTACTACCATGATATACATATATCATATTTTGTTAATCTACTTATGAATTGATGGGCATTTTGGTTGATACCTCATCTTTGCTATTGTGAATTGTGCTGCAATAAACATCTGAGTTCAGGTGTCTTTTTATAAAGTGAGTTCTTTTCCTTTGTGTAGATATCCAGTAGTGGGATTACTGGATCAAATGGTAGGTCTAATTTTAGTTCTTTGAGAAATCTCCCTACTGTTTTCCATAGGAGTTGTACTAAATTGCAATCCCACCAAGAGTGTATAAGAATTCCTTTCTGTCTACATCCATGCCATCATCTAATGTTTTTGTACTTTATAATAAAAGCCATTCTAACAGGAGTAAGGTGTTATGTCATTGTGGTTTTAATTTGCATTTCCCTGATGGTTAGTGATGTTGAGCATTTTTTCAAGTTTGTTGTCCATTTGTCTACCTTCTTTTGAGATAATTTTGTTCTTGTCTTTTGGATACTTTTTAATCGAGTTGTTGGATATTTTCTTGCCGATTTTATTTCTTTGTAGATTGCAGGTATTATTAGCCCTATATTGGATGGGTAGATTGCACATATTTTTCTCCCATTCTGTAGGTTGTGTATTTACTCGTTAGCTGTGCAGAAGTATTTTAATTTAATCAAGTCCCCTGTATTTATTTTTGTTGCTGCTGTAATTGACATGGTGGTCTTGATCGTAAGTTCTTTGCATAGCCCAATGTCTAGAAGAGTTTTTCCTAAAATTTCTTATCAAATTATGTGATTTTTGCCTTACATTTAAGTCTTTTATCCATCTTGAATTAATTTTTGTGAGTGGTGGGAGATAGAGGTCCTGTTTCATTCTTCTGCATGTGGCTGTCTCATTTTTTAAGTGAACATTAACTCCACAGTGGTACTTCCTGGACAGTGTCTGATTTACATATTGTGGGAGAGGCTGTGAATACAGCCACAAGCCCCATGGAGATGGAAATTGTGGAACCAGCAAAAGGTGAAAGGCTGGAAGTCTTAGAAAATGGTCCTGATTTAGTGATGATGACATTTCCATATGCAAACCTGTTTCCAGAAAAGGCACATTCCCATCCGATCAATGCGATTGAGCTTTCTCAAATCTTCCAATGGGATATTGCTTGGTAAGAAAGGTTTTTTGCGTGCTTATTCATCTGCTCTTTCTTATTCTTCAGAAGGTATATTTCTATACATCCCATGTTGTCTATGATTATTAAGATGAAATTCTTGTACTTCTCAAGCTTTTATTAACTCACACTGTATGCAAGAAAGTCACAATGTCTCCTTGCAGTTACACAGGCAAAGCCCTGGGAAATTCCAGCTTTTAGTGTCAGGGAGATGAGGTGTAAATGGCAAGAAGACTGAGAGGGTGCAACTAGGGAAGAGGAATCAATGACCAGGAGATCCCAAGGGTCGGGTCCTGGTGACCAAAAGAACAAGGAACTTCAGAGAAAAGAGACTAGTCATTTGTTTCCAATACTGATAAATCCTGTAAGACAGGGACTGAAAATGACCATTTGAATTTTCGTAAGTGGTATCACAGTGTATTTGGCAAAAAGAGTTCTGGTAGCCTAGTGGAGATGTATCTTCATTGCAGAGAGTTCAAGAGGGAACTGAAGGGAGGAAGTAGAAACTGTGAGTGCCAAGGACTCTTTTGAGACATGTTGCAGTAAATGTAGAGGCAAGAATGGGTCTGCAGCAGAAAATGGCTACACTCCCTAAATCTTTGCCACTTCTGGCAGAATATGATTGCCTGTCTTCAATGACACCAGATGGGCTTATTTGCATAGGGCTTTTCACTTCTTTTAGTGACAGTATCCCCATGGCTTCCCCAAAACACTGTGAGTTCCATGAGGACAAGTTTGGGTCTGATAAGACCTTTGTTCTTCTACTCTCTCCTGTTCACCTCCACAGGGTCACAATTTGCAGTGGCATGTGTATCACTACTCTGCTTCTGTCTTCATCTCCTTCAGTACTGGAGGTCACAGGGCCACCTCTGCTTTGCTACCTGCCTGTGGATTTAGTTCCCATCACACAGGAGTTCTCAGCGAGCTCTGGGATTGCGTTCATGGTCAATAAATGTGTCAGCTAGGGAGGTATCTAACTTCTCTTAGACTTCGTTTCCTTATCTGTAAAATGGGTAAAATAATAGTGTTTTCTACATATATCAGTGTGAGTTTTCAGGAGAATTAGAAATGAATAAGTAAGTGCTCTATGTGTTCATTAACTGAATAAGGGAACCTTAAGAAACGTTTGATGAAAGAATAGAAGAGTGAAAAAATGTCCTCTCAGAATCAGACTAAGTTCATGGACCCTCTATGCCTTCTCAAAGTCCCCCTCCCACCGCCCCTCTCTGGCCCCTTCTCTCTTCTCCCACAGGAAGACCAGAAGTCGTCCAAGTTCCATAGCTCCTTTGACCCACAAATTTTGGGGGCTGCCTCCAGCATGGGGATGGAGTATGAGCTGTGTTATGCCTCCATCAGCTTCCCTAGAATGAATCTTTCGGAGAGCACCGCCAGTGACTGCTCAGAGATCAGGATCCAGTAGGAAGTGACAGGTCATTGGACTGAGTGAGAAGATTCACATCGTCTATGGGAAGGGAGACCGAAGGCTGATTCATGGAGATTTAACTCCCCATAGTCAATGTGTTAACACACTTTTTGTGAATTTCCTGCTATATTGATATTATCCTTTGTACCCAGAGGCCTGGGAACCAATCTATGCTCTTTTATATGCTGAGAGCATGACATTGGGTGAGCTACTTTTCCCTCCATGTCTCAATTTCCTGCTCTGCAAAATGAATTCAAGATGTCCTATCTCACAGGGCTGCTGTGAGTATTAAATAAGGATGCACATGGAAAACACCAGTCCTGGGCATAGTGAGAGTTTCCTGCATACTGGTTACTTCTCCCGTAGTGACACTTGGTCCAGGGGAACAGTGTGGACATTGATATAAACTGTATCATCAATATGTCAGTCTCAGTGGCTGCTCAAACTCCACCAGTGATCCCTTCCCTGACTTGCCCTCCCACATCATTGCCCTCCACTCCTATTTTGCTTCTTCCAAATTTCCTTACAATTTTCAAAGAAGTATTCAATGAGCACCTAACATATGCCAAGCTTTTTTCAAGAAGGGCATACTGAGCAATAAATAATCCTTCATGAAGCTTAATTTTAATAGTGTGAGAGAATGGTAAAGAATAATTAATTAGATGATATTATGTTGATCAGTAATAACGAGTTTGCCCTAAAAAAGACAGTAAAGATAGATAGGGAATAGGGGATACATTCTTCACTATGTTGTCCATGACCTCATCACTGAGAAACTGACATTGGAGTATGCACCCATATACACACACACCATAGGCACTTAGGAGACACACAACTCAGATGTGCAGAAAAAGATCCCAGACACACATATATAGACACAGTCACATAGACACATACACATTTCAAACACACACACACACACACACCCATACCCCAGATGCATGCATGTAGTCCACAGACATGTACAGAAACACAAACACACACATGCACATAGACACACACCACAGATATAGAAACACTGACAAATCATAAACACTCATATTATAGACACACAAAGTAGGGCATCAGACACTGGGGTCCTGAGACGGCTCCTCCCTGGGATCTTTTCCCTGGGAAGACTGGAGCCCTGGTTCCCAGTCCAATCAGACCCAAAGCCCCAGCAGGAAACCAGAAACAGTGCTGCTGACGAATCTGAGCAACCACTTTCTGTCATCCGGTTGACCTTTTCGCTTTCAATACCCACCCACTCTGGCTACTGATGTCACAATCTCCTTGTCTCCGCTGCCTGAGGTCCAGTGGATCCTGCTGGCCTGGCCACCGTGGTGCCGGCCTGTCCCTGCAGCAGCAGCTGCATCCACACTCAGACTGACCACTGGGGGTGGGCAGGGCCCTTGGGCTTGTTCAGGAAGGTGGGAACGGCTCTGGGCCTCAGGAAACAGACATACAGCTGAGTCAGGGGAGAAGGGAAGAGTCCCCTGCACGGACACCAGTGAGTCCTGCTGCTGCAGAGCTGATCCGCTGGCTGAGTCACCACCCCATTCCCCAAAAGAGGAGTAGGAGGAGATGGAGTGTGAGGTTCAAGCTTGGATTTCCTCGGACCCTGGAGCAGAGAGGTTGAAGAAGGTGTCTGAGGCCAAAGGGGTGAAACGGTGGGTGGGGCTGCAGCCCATCAGTACTGACTTAGGGGTGACTGACCTGAAAACTGAATTTCTAGGGAAACCAATGACTGACAGTGTGAGACAATCACCTGGCACACACGGGAGGGGCGTGAGTAACCCCCGGTGCCCTGTCGGGACGGCCTCGCTAAGAGACCACTTCGTGGGAGCCTGACTGAGCGATGACAGGGCAGGAAGGGAAGGGTGGATTATCTGATTAGCTGGTTTGCAAGTGACCCGGGCTCTGACCCAGGAGGACGCTCACCTGGTCCCTAACCCGGCCACTCACCTGGTCCCTCACGGGGCGGATGACCCGCTGCCCTCCGTGCTGGCCGGGCGCCCCGCGCGGTGCCGGGCTGAGGAGCACAGACGCGGCTGCTGTGAGCCACCGACCGGTCCGCGGTGTGGCCGCACGACGGACGCGGAACCGGGCTCTGCGCCACTAGGGGGCTCGGCCGCCTCGGCTCAGGGAGGTCAGTGAGTCCCCCGGGCTGACGGGGAGCCCCGTTCTCCGGGAAGCCCAGTGTGTGGAGCCCCAAGGCAGGTCCCTCACCCGACGAATGCCGGGGACACCTCCAGACAGCTCGGGTCCCTTAGGATCAGTCACTCTGTGTCCTGTGCGCAGCGAAGGCGGTGTGGACGCCCAACTGTCACTGTGGGTTCTGCCAGCGATTCTCACAGAGAGCGCGTCCGCCCCACAGCCAATCAGGGGCTGCGTAGGCCCACTTTAGCCAATCGGCAGCTGGATGCTCCTCCTCAGCCAATCAATAAGACAGTAGTACTGTTGCGTACAGGGTCACGTGCCTCTGGGAGGTAGACACAGCTGTGAGAGCCAATCAGGAGCTCAAATAGCAAGTCCCTCCTCCCATTGTGAGCTTCCCAGATTCTTGAGGGCTTGGCCAATCAGATGCCGTGGGCGGGGCCATGGGCTTTTGGGCCCATATTCCTTTCAGCCAGGGCTCAGGGGACCAAGCTGGTTAAGTCAGTCTACTGTCCCCTCCCTCCCCGGCCGGTGACTTCCCTGTCCTCTCGATTACGCTGCTTTGTTTTCCTCTCACGGTCCCCACTGCACACTTTGTAACACTTTTCCTACTCGATTACACTAGGACGTGAGCTCGCTGTGGGCAGAGTGCTGTCATTGCTTTTTCTCACTCATGTCTCCTCCAGGGTCGCTGGCTCCGTCCGTGCTCGCTGCTGTGGACTGAGCGCGCGTCCCCGACAGCCCTGCTCACCTTTCTCCTCCCCGCTCACCTGTCCCGGCTCCGGCAGGTCCTCACTCCCTCCCTGGGCTCCCGCTGGCTCAGCCCGATCACTGTAGGCGGTGACCCTGTCTCTGCCCCGCTGGCACCGCGGGTGCCCCTCCATTGTCGGCCTCACCCCACCCGGCCCCCAGGGACTCCGCTGCACAGGTGGGAGCCCGCGCCCAGGCTGCCGGAGCAGTGCGGTCCACGGCCAGCAGAGGACGCTGTGGCGTAGCGGGGAGGGGAGGGCGCGTGTGGCAGGGAAGTCTCAGCTGTGCAGAAGTCAGAGCTGGTGAAGGAGGAGCCCCAGACCTCTCACTTCCCTTTTCTCCTTCCACCCTCTCAGCCGCCCCATCTCTCAGACTGGCCGCTGAGCACTATGTGGCCTGCGAGGTCCATTGTGGCCAGACCAGGCTGCTCTGAGCCTGCACTTGCAGGAACACAGTGAGCCCTCTTGATGACTCCCTGTAGACTCGCTAGGGGTGGGGGCGGGGCTGGGCAATCCTCACTGCCCCACAGGGAAATCCTGGCTCAGGACTTGAGATTCGGGCTGGAAGTGCCAGACAGGGACAGTGCAGGAGGGCCTGAGTGACTGTGCGCTATTGCATCTTCGACACAACAGGCTCCCAGTGTGACTCTAGCTGAATGTGAGTCAGGTATATAACGCAAAATGTCCAGTAGTCATATTATAATATCAGAAAGAAACATGTGAGACTGATTTTCATTGTACCCAGAGGACAGAGGCTGGTGAGGAACCACCCAGGGCTTCTGGCCTGCTGTTGGAGCCCTAGACCTCTCTGGGGAAGGGACACTTCACACACTTGTTCTTATGGAGTAAATGTATCTTTCCTTAATAGTTGAGAAATTATTTCTGGGACTT